TTTAAAACTTTTTGTCATCCTAACAACAAACAGCTTTACTCATTCTTATACACAGAGTCTTATACTGTCTATCAGCAATGACTATTTTAGTCTTTCAAAGGACAAAATGGGTGGAAAAACAGTAATAAAAATTAGACATAAACAACATAAAATGCAGGCCAGGAGCGAGGCCCTCTAGAGGCGTGAGGCCCTGTGCGGTTGCACACTTGGCACAGCCCTTGCGACGGTACTGCTCATACCTGCAGGAGATTTCTTCGTCTTTTAATGTTTTGACAGTTGTCTATTTATAAAATGTATCCAAATCCCTCCCTGTTGTAGGTTTTGAAGAAGAAGCTGCAAGGCTTCACTCTGAAAGTATCCAGCAGCAGTGAGAGCCATTTAATTGGCAACAGCCTCAGAGAGATTGAGGATGCCTTAAATGCGCTGCAGAGACAAGTGGGCGATTTTGACAGGGCAGTGGAGGAGTACAAACAGAACCTGGACATGAATGTCAAGCTCCAGCAAGCCTTAGAGGAGGTGGGGTGCACCAGGAACATACAGTGGGTACGGAAAGTATTCAGACCCCCTTAAATTTTTCACTCTGTTATCCTATAGGAGCTACTATCACAATTTAGCAGCAATTTTACTTGTTTATTTTATAATAAATTTCTGGAATTTTTTATTCATTTATTTCAAAGTTTTATATTAATGTTTACCTTCAGATCTTTCCATTTATAATGCTGCTAAATGAAGTAGAAAACAAATTAAATATGCTTTGCTCTCACAAATGTATGACTTTAAAGCAGTATCACAGTAAATGGCTATAAATAGTCTATCCTCTCACCTTTCATTTTAAACACAGTATCAGTTCTGGTGCGACGAAGCAATCTCCACAATTGTACGTGTGGGTAAATATTCCTCTCAATGTAAGACTAAGGAAGCAGTCGGCTCTCTCTACAAACAGTTTGAAAAATTTGTGTGGCCCACAATACCACAGCAAGAGGAGAGAATTAGCCAGATCACAGAGCTGGCAGTACGGCTACATGGTAAGAAATTAAGAATGCATTCTGAAATATTGCTTTAGAGGAATTTATTATTTACCCTTTCACTGAATAGAACAAATTACTTCATAGAGACCCCAGTGTATAAAAGTAATTGCAGCAACCCCTTAACATCCTTTATAATGTTCCTCTGACCCAAACAGTAGAGTTGCTGGCCTCAAAGCATGACTGCTGTTTTTAATGTAGGTGCTGAAGAAGGAAAGAAATACATGGAGAAAACAATCAACAAACACCATGAAATTGTAGAATCAATAAAAGAACTATCAAATGGGCTGCTGGACCTTGAAGCCAAACTTCAGGTGATAATGTCAAACATAACTATTTTACTTGGTACAAATAATCTGACAGTTGTAATAATGTAATAATATACTTCTATTAATATTTGTATATGAATTATTTATGTAGTTGGAGACTTTGAAGCAGTCTCTAACACCTGAAGACAACAACAAACGAGACACCATTGATACGGTAAAAACCAGTAACACTTTGACTTGCAATTGCAAAGATGCCAGAAATAAAGTACGTTATCTTTTATATTGTACATTCAAAATTATTAATTCGGTAAATTACAGTTAAAGTTCAATTTCAGTCAAATATAGTAAAAATAATCAAGCTTTCCACCCTGTCAAGATTGTTATTTAATAAAATCTGTCAACGTAATTACTGTATGTGAATATTTGATGTATTTGATCTGAAAGAATCAGTAGATCTGAGTCATTAAACGATATTGATTCATTAAACATATACAAACTCTAACACCATATTTGCTGCTAAAGTTTAAATTGGAGACAAATCACAAGACAAGGAGCACAAAATTAGTGTATTTGACCGTCTTAAGGAAACATAGTAAACAAAAAAGGGAGCATTAAAATCATTGCATTATTCAGTGTTGTTTAATTTTATATAATCAGCAAAAACACTGCAAATGTATCATGAATATTCAAAAAAATCACCCAACCCTAAGCCATAGTTTTTTTTTCCGTTTCTATTTCAGCCTGAACCAAAGGAAAGTGGACATACCCCTGAGATGACAGGCCCACACTGTACTAAAGAGATGCCTGTCGGCAAGAATCCGGAAAATAAGAAACCTCAGCTTCGCAAAACACGAAGCCAAGATCTGCCAGACAAACATCATCCAGAGCATCAAAAAGTGCTGTCAGAGACCAGGTTGTACACACAGGAGGCCTTTTCTAAGACCAGCAAAGTGGAGACCATCACGAGCAAAGCTACTATAGAGAGGAGAGAAAAGATGCACACCTCTTTCTCTCATTCTCACACCATTAATGTAAGCCATTCCCCTGCAGAGCGGGATAAGAGGAGTCACCTTCTGCAGCAAACCAAGAGAGACTCACAAGAAACCCCACCTCCCCCACCTCCGCGGGATCCAGGCGTATCACGTCCCAGCATCATAGACATTCAAAGAGAGCTGCAGTGTGCTGTTCAGAAGACCAGCTCTGAGGACAAGTATCAGGCCTGTAGTAGAAATCATCCTTTTCACTCATATTCCAAGGTGAGCTTTCTTTTGACACAGAGTCATTTTCTATTTATTTATTCAGCAAATTTCAAGTAGGTAAGAGTTGAATCGTTTTATTAGGCAAAGAATAGTCCTATTTTGAAGTGCTACTAAATTACATTGCGAGGCAAGTAAACATGTTGGGATAATATGAACGTGTTACAGGGTGGAACATTTAAAACCAAAATGGCTACATTCAGCAATCAACAATATGACTTTTGTGACACAATTTGGCTCTTCTGAAAATTCTGTTTGTTTTGTCATTTAAAATTATAGTTATAGTTAATTACAATGGAATATGCTTATTTGGTGCTCAAGAAACAGTTATTTTCTAATTATTATCAATGTTGAAAACAGTTTTGTTGCTTAGATATTTTGTGTTCATTATACACTTTAAGGATTCTTTGATGAATATAGTTTAAGAGAACAGCATTTATTTGAAATAGAGATAATTTGTAACATTATAAATGTATTTACTGTCACTTTTGATCAATTTAATGTGTCCTTGCTGATTAATAAAAAATGACTGACCCCAAACTTTTGAAAGTTTAAATTATACATTTACACATGAATATTATATAAATTTTTTAAACTATTTACATCAATATATTGACGCTACAGTCACTTTAGAAATATTTTAAATGATTTCTATTGCTTCTGTGGACATGTAAAATGCATATTCTATGTATAAATAATCACTATAATCGCATTAAATATTTTGTATTTCAGTATAATATATCTAGGCTTGCAAAACACTTAATATTTTAAAGCAGATTTTTGTCTTTAGTGGATTTTCTAATGGTGCTTTTAAATGCTAACTAACAAAAAAATGGCAAGCAAAATTATATTACAGGGAGAATTACAGATTTTCTTTCCTCTTTATTTGTGTACGTTTTGTTTCTATAGACTTCTGCTCATCATTCTTTAGAGGAGGAATATTTGCCTCATGGGACACCAGAGCCAGCAGCTACTGTACCTGAAGGTGATTTCCACCCTGACCATCTTACTGAGGAATCGCTCTCCAATGATGAGTACGAATGCACCTCCCCAGATGACATCTCCCTACCTCCTTTATCTGAGACTCCAGAATCCAACATTATTCAGTCAGAAAATGACCTTGATGACGGCTATTGCGTGAGCTCTCACAGCCTTCACATTAACCAGCACAGCCATCAGTCCCACTCTCAGCATGGCGACACACTACACCAGAGGCAGCGGGAGTGGATGTCGAGTCAGGCCGAGAGCTACCCATCTCCCACCACTGGCCTGGGGGCTAGGTTCAGAGCAGAGTCGTCCTCTTTTGTTCAAAGCCCCCTCACAGTACCTGCCCCAAGCCTTGTGTCAAACACCATATCCAGCATCTTAAAAAGCAAATCTGGCAACCCACCACCAAGCAGCATCACTGAAACGCTTTACTCAGTGCATGAGAGTCATACCGATATGCAAAAGTGTGTGCATGATTCTAGTACGAGTCAGTGCCACAGCGCTCGGCCCAATAACACGCATGCTACCCCTACCCCATTAACCACAGAGCAGGACTCGGATCTCTGCAAGCCCACAGTCATCCGAGAGGAGATCAGGCGGGCATCTTCCAAAAAGGTTATGGGAAAACTGGCAGGTGGCACAGGCCCTAACTTCTCCAAACACTTGCCTAATGCCACAGTAATGGAGGGCTCTCCGGTGACCCTGGAGGTGGAAGTCACTGGATTCCCTGAGCCTACATTAACCTGGTGGGTAGCTTATAACAAACTTGACCCATAAATTAAAACATACTTTGCTAATAGGAGGAAAACCTGGCTATTGTTTCTTAATATAATAGTCTACATTAATATATTATTCTTAATATCTTTTAATAATATATAGTATTAAACATTTAAATAATATAATATTTTACTACAGTTCAGTAAGGTTTTTTAAAAGAAATTTAGAAAGAAAGAAACTTTAACTTTATATAGCAATGATCTTTATATTACAATGATCAAAATTGATAGTAAAACATAAAAAAGTAGTTCTTTTGCACTTTCTATTTATCAAAGAATAACAAAAAAAGTATCATAGTTTCCACAAAAATACTAAGCAGCACAACTGTCAACACTGATAATATTAACTGCCAACATTGATAATGTTTCTTTCTTGATCCCCAATCTGCAAATTAGAATGATTTGTGAAGGATCATATGACGCTTAAGACTGTTTTTACTGCATTCTTGATCAAATAAATGCAGACTTGGTGAGCAGAAGAGACTTTTCAAAAACAATAAAATCTTACCAACCCCAAGCTTTTGAACGGTAGTGTAATATATAGAGATTATTAATTATCTGAATGCTATTGCATCCAAATGGGTGACAAATTCTCATTATACAACATTTTGATCGATATTCCAGTTTTTAAAAACTTAAGAAACTTTTAAAAACATCCATCAAAAAGCATGGTATTTGTACGTCAGATAGATTAACAAATATATACATATATATTTTTGTCTGCCTGCATGAAGCAGGTTTGTTGAGGAAAGTTGATGTTTTCTCCATTAATTTTTCTCATTTCATTTGAACTTTTTTTTTCCCCACTGTCATGCATATATTCCATGTATACTAACTTGATAATCCACATTTCCTTTCGCTAACCTTTCCTTTTTATGTGACTTCTGTAGGACCTTCAACTTTAACATTACCTCTAATTTCTCTTTTTCACTGAGTGTGTATTAATGTGTGCCCTTTTTTGCTGTGGTGTGATTGTGTAACATAATAATTCACTCTTTGTTCAGGTTCAAGAATGGACACAAACTGGCCAATGATGAGCACATAGAACTATCCCATAAAGAAGGCAAACATGCGTTGTTCATTCACAGCTCTGCAGTGAGAGACTCTGGGCAGTATGTGGTCACTGCCTCTAACTCAGCTGGCACTGTCACGTCCAGCTCCACGCTACAGGTCAAAGGTAACAACAGCCCTGACTTAGATGTTCTCAAACTGGACTGGCACACCTGCTTTGGCACCCTCTGTTTCTTCTTGTGGCTTCTCTATCTGCTGTTGTTATAATGGACACTGCCATTAACATAAGGAAAACACATGGATGTGGACTCTTCACTTTTGAACTTTCTTCACGTCACATAACCACTGGTGTGTGCAGAATTAACCGTCTTTGGTGACTGCACAAATGTAAGAGCACATGGGTAGTTGATATGAATCTTCATCTAAAACTATTCTAAACTAGCAGTTTAATAATTATTTTAGAATGCAATTCATTTATAATGCATGCAGCTCTTATGATATTGTTTGAAAGACTACATTTAAATATTTGTCGTTTTAAAAATGAATCTGTCACACTGTTGGACCTTTCAGTGAACTAGTGAAGGCAAAAAGAGTTTTGAAATGGTGGTTAGGCACAGGACCTAAATATATACTTTATATATACAGTCTACATATAAATTTCAACGTAAAATTTTGTTGTTTATTGTGTGTGTGTGTGTGTGTTTTACATTGACACATGCATCAACTACCCACAGATTTGTTCATTTTGGCTATGAACACTGAAATCACTATAATAATGTTTTGCAATATTCAAATTCAGCATGAACTGAATTATTTTGTATTTTTCCTATTATATTATGGAAGTAGCAGTGGATCTGCATGCAGTTCCCTTTGTGATGGTAATAAAGCCTTGGTCTGCTCTGCCGGTATTTATAGTTGCAGTTCTGAAATGTTCAGCATTTTACAATTAAATTATTTATTTTTAAAGAGTTTGAGTGTTCTTTTTAAACAAACCCACTTCTAGATCTAAATGAAATGGTCCAGAAGGGAAAATAGCCAAAAAATACATTGTATGGGTCAAAATTATTGATTTTTCTTTTATGCCAAAAAATCATTAGGACATTAAGTAAAGATCATGTTCTGTGAAGATATTTTATAAATTTCCTACTGTAAATATATCAAAACTTAATTTTTGATTAGTAATATGCATTGCTAAGAACTTCATTTGGACAACTTTAAAGGCGATTTTCTCAATATTTAGATTTTTTTTGCACCCTCAGATTCCAGATTTTCAAATTGTTGTATCTCGGCCAAATATTGTTCTATCCTAACAAACCATACATCAATGGAAAGCTTATTTCGAAAAATTGACCCTTATGACTGGTTTTGTGTCACATATGTATTTTTGGTTGCAACTTGCAAGAGAGTCTGTAACTTAATCTGAGGTAAGTGCTGTACTGTATATTCAACTCACATATTACTACCAGCTAGACAGATCACAATTAACTTTGTTAAATGCGTGCTTGTCAGTGTTGTCTTAATATCCATATGCTCTTGAGTTTCATTTCCGGGTGGTCTGATATTTCTGTTGATTCTAAGTATGACCCTTTGAAGTTTTGGTCCATTTTGGCTTATATATATATAAAAAAAAGTAAGGAATTCTCTCTCTCTCTCTCTCTCTCTCTCTATATATATATATATATATATATATAGAGAGAGAGAGAGAGAGAGAGAGAATTCCTTACTTTTTTTACTTACTGCTTTTCTTTTCCAACAGTAAATGATAAAGGCAGCTTTGAAAAACCAACACATGCTTAATGAGGCTCAAGCTGAAGTATGACAACCCTTTTTGAATTATAAAAGCTTTTTTAGCCTGTTTTTGTTTGAGATAATACTGTTATAATTTCTGCTTCATCTTTTCGGTGCAGTAAATCATAATGTAATCTGATTTGCTCAGTGCACAGGGTCACTCCACCCTTCCCCTCCAGACCGGATGAGCAAAATGTATTAGTGGAAGAAGACCTCTCAGCTCACGCTGCACTTATCCTCAAATGTTCTGCAAGAAATATACTAAGGTTGCAGCATGTGACAAGAGCCAAGTGAGTCAAACAGCGTAAAGTCTGAGACCACTAGCATTCTGCTATTGTTTCATGCTCACCATACTTTTGAGAATGACATAATGTAAAGAAGAAAATGTGTCCATATACACATTAAAATAAATAAATAAATAATTTGTGTATGCTTTTTTTAACAGAAGCCAAAACCATTATAAAGGCCACTGATTATTGAACATACTGTATAAGAAAGATCTGGAAAACCCATTATCACTCATCACTGGCACAGATGCTGTTTAGAGGAAAAACTTTGCATATCAGAGTTCACCGAGCCTGATCTTCTAATTCTTTGTGAATTATTCATAATTATAATATCTGTAACATTACTGATAACTTGGTATACATTGCCTTGCAAAAGTATTCTGTATCCAATACCGATATATTGTCATATACACATTCTGAACAAAAATAAAAACAGCTGTGGCTAAGTTGTTGTTCAGTGCTTGTTGCTGAAAGTGGACAACTTTGCCAAGACCATCATGAATCGTTACTATCAAATAACTCCCACGTATGATTATCTTCAAGTATTTGTGTATGAGTTATGAATGAAGACAAATTAGCTACATAAAGCTATATAAATTGTTATAGTTATAGCTGTATCACATTTTGTCATTAGATTGTTGACTCATGAAAGTTAACACTTGCAATGCTATCACTATAGTCATGCATTCCACTCATACATGTCACTGCCTGTCTTTAACATGGTCTCCTGTCAGTTTTAGTTCACTGCAAAACCAACTTGGTCCCACAATAATGGTAAAGTTCATAATCAACATCAGCTTCTTTTCTGATTTTCAAAGCATTAACATAATCACTTCTACCAGATAAATGAAAGAAAAACAGATGGGTAAACACTGTCTGTGATCTAGGCTGGAGACGTTTATCTCGTCCACCCGAGCCTGAGTGACAGTGAAAGCCCTGCTCGCCCATTTGGTTCTTCACTTCTTGAGGATCAACATGTTGTTACAGTGACTGATTAATTTATAAGATAAAGCCAGTGAGGATTTCTCTCTTTATGAGGGGCATTTTCCTGTTTCTTTAGGTGTGGGGGTTTCATCCACCCTGTGATAATGGGTCCTGCGTTGTGTTATGTAAAGTGGGTGACAGGTGTGAGCTTGCAAAAAAATGATGCCTCATGGGGGGACGGCCAATGGGGCATGGCAATGTAGTGATGATGCTCAGTAGCCAAGGGGTATATAAAGTAAAACCACCATGTTAACACTTCTGAGTAGTTGGAGCATTCCCAGCCTTGCCTCGGGTGTAGGGATTGCAAGGGGAAAAGCAAAACTACACGGATAAGACCCTGTGTAGTTTTGTTTTTGGGGGATATTTTGGGGCTCAACCATTCTCACACTGTGTTTTCTGAAATCATATCTGGATAAGGACTTTGTTTCAGTAGACAAAACCCTTTGGGCTTCGTCCCTCCAATTCAAGGCACTCTTGTGGAAACGAGTAAGTACGCTTCGTGCTCTTGTACCCATGTGCCAGTGCACTACTTTCTAATGATGCTTTGTCGTGTTCTTCTAACTAATAAAGAGAGTGGCAATACCAAATTTGATTTTCACTTTGAGAGATTAAGAAGGAAGGGGACATATTTTAAGCAATTTAAATACATTTTCATTTGCTTTTGACTTAAGACATTTCATTTCTAAAGGTTATTAAATGGTGCGGTGGTTTTATTAAAGCCAAGAATAGCCTGTGATCGCATTAGAGTGGTGACCCAGCTGGGCCATGATGTATTTTTAAGGGAATCAGCAGCAGAGATATTAGTTGCACATCCAGCTTTGTGCCACATGGTGACTGTCAATCAAGCTTAGTACTGACTATTTTTAGAGGATGCCGCTTTGTTCGCTAGGACATTATTTGCAGTTTAAATGGATTTTCTTAAAGTTGTTTCTAGAAACATCTGCCTTATTGTATTAAGGATCTTAAGTCTGTGATTTTCAGGCTGTGGTTCTTGAAGTTGATATATGGGGTATTTGCTAACGTCAACAATCATTTTTATTTAGAGTTTTTGATATTGATGTACCTTGAATTATTGCTATGGTAAAGCCATTCACCATATAATTTTTTATAAGTGTCCTATAATTTTTGTTTTATTATTATTTATTTATTTATTTTACGTGTGTGTTTGCTTTAAATGAGAATGTATGTCAAATTATTCTCGATGAAACATGAGGTGCTAGGCATTTTAAAAAGTGCAATAAAAGTACAGAGATGTTGTGGTTGTTTATTTCAGAGCCATGTTTTCATTTGAATTTTTCATTTTGAAAATGACCTAAGATATATTTAAGTAACTAGGCTATTTATTATATAAAAACATTGCAGTACTTTTACAGTAATATAATTATTTCCATATAAACTATATCTGAATTCAGTTCAGTCATTGTTGTTCTATCTACTTTAGGTAAAGGTCATGCGTCTAGCAGTTCCTTTCAGCCATTTTAAATTCTACTTATAAACTAGTTCTCTTCTTTAAGTAACGTTTTTTTGTCTTTTTTTGTCAGACAGTCAATACACGTGAATCTTAAATGTGGAGCGTTTAAACCTTACAGCTTAATATTATGTGATTATGTATGTTTATGAATAACTTCTTAGTATTGCTTGGTATAAGACCAGCCGTTCAATTCAGCATTTACATTGGGTCACAAGTTGAATTACTATGCGTTAGCCACTGATTTAGATTAGTTTTTGATAGTGACAAGATTTGATGATACAGGCCTGTCTGGAGGGCTATTCTAAATTATGTCATGCCGGAAAAAGAGCTCACTGCATGCCACAGGTACCAGTTGTTACTGTCATGTCCCTTAAGCTGTCAGTTGATTTGAGGTCCAACTGTTTGGCCTAACACCCAGTGGAGCCGATTGACTCTCAAGTGACAGGCCAGCTTCTACCAGGTTGTCAGGGATCAAACTAATGATTAGTCTGTTTAGACTAATCGCAGCTAAAAGTACTGTTTGTATTTTATTGTCTTTTGAATTAAGATATTATTTAAGTTTTTGCAGGGTTCCATCCTATAACTATAATTCATTCTATGCCTTCCTTTAGGGTGCCATCCACCATGTCAACACAGGCACCAACATTTACACAGCCGCTTCAGAGCATTGTGGCCCTTGAGGGTAGTGCTGCAACGTTTGAAGCTCAAGTTAGTGGTAAGAATGTTTCCCACTTTGCCATTCCATTGCTGATATGTGTTCTTCTTGACTCTTTTATGTCAGAGTGTACAACATGTGAAGGAAGTTAATGGAATGTTTGTATTTACATAATGCTGCAGCTTTACATGATTAGCAGTTATGAATTTATCTGAATCAGCCATTATTGTTTGATCTCAAATTATTTTAGAAATTAGTTTTATTTCGTTTGAATAAATGCAATTAAAAAAGTGCAAAATTTACATTAAGTTTAGTTCAGTGTGTCACTGTCCCTCCAACTAAAATGCGTTAGTATTTGTGGGAGGCATGTAAATTATTTATTGCAATGTTTAAGCATCCAGTGGTGTATAAAGTACCTGAAAGCCATACTCAAGTAAAAGTATAGATATCTTACCAGAAAATGACTTTGGTAGAAGTTGAAGTCACCGTTTAGAATATTACTTGAGTAAAAGTCTTAAAGTATGTGATATTTATTGTACTTAAGTACGAAAAGTATTTTTTAAATCTTAAACGTACTTAAGTATTGAAAGTAAAAGTACAAGTAAATGCAAAATGCAAAAGAAGCAAATAAAATAAAACTGCATATTATATGCACGCCAAACACATCCGTATCATATGCACGCCAAAGTCCATTTTTGCCTATCAATACCACAAGTTTTCGTTTTTATTTGGCGTACTATTTATACGCATTTTCATGAGACCGGGCTCGGTAATCTCCGCTATCAGACCACTATCAGATTTATCAGTAATATTTTACTGGGGCACATACAGTACATTTGTATTTGTTTTGTATCGCAAACATCACAAACCTTTTTTGTTTAAAAAAGGTTTTGAGTATAGTTTGGGTGCTGTGGGGGCAAAAAGATTCATTTATTCGATATCGCGAGATAAACTGCACAGCTTGTTCCTGAAATTGTTCAGGTGTGGACTTAAAATTCTCTTAAATCGAACCGGGAAAATACAATCTAACAAGTCCCACATTGTATTTTAATATTCACATATTTTCTATAACATTCTCCTCTTCTTCCTTCACAATTTTATGGAATTTATTCAGTTTGAACTTCTTTAATAACGTAACGTACATTCAAACTTTGTAGGTAATTTCAGTCTGCTAAAAGATACCTGTGCTAATAGTGCTATCTATTTTTGGTGTTTATAAACTGTAAAGAAAATTAGGATTTAACTTTGATAATGTACATTTGAATTTAAAACTCTCTCTCTCTCTCTCTCGCTCTCTCTCTACATATATATATATATATAAATATAGGAACTCAGGCAGAGAGATCTCATCAACTGCGGAGGTAGAATCTAGGAGAATAATATTTCAGTTGGCCACATTTCTAATGCCTTCTATCCTGTTTTCCATTCACTTCACTTTGTTTTTCAGAGAGCACCTTCTGTTTTATGTTTAAGGGCAACATTTGAAAGATTTTATTTCAAGTCATGGATAGGTCGAGTGATTAAATTGGATTGGATAATCTCGGCAATAATCATGCTGTCTAATCAGCATCTTGATATGCCACACCTGTGAGGTGGATGGATTATCTCGGCAAAGGAGAAGTGCTCACTAACACAGATTTAGACAGATTTGTGAACAATATTTGAGAGAAATAGGCCTTTTGTGTACATAGAAAAAGTCTTCGATCTTTGAGTTCAGCTCATGAAAAATGAGGGCAAAAACAAAAAAGTTTGCGTTTATAATTTTGCTCAGTGTATATATAAATTTTGTTATTTTCAGGAATTTCAAATATCTGCAATTGAACGAAAAATAATCCAAGAGATTGAAATCCGCATCCTTAAAATAACTTACAGAGAACTGGTGATTGAGGATGGTGAGGAGATGGTCATGAATGTTGCTGAGCATGAGGCTGTCAGATCCTCATTTAGTACTCCAGTCAAAAGCTACAGAATTCTGGAAGGAATGGGTGTTACTTTCCATTGCAAGATGGAAGGAACGCCATTACCAAAGGTAAGGGTGCTAATTCTATTGATAAACATGTTCTCACTACAGCACAATGTATACAAGTAATTTTTCTGTCATTTGTGTTAAATAGATTGCTTTATAATGTTACAAAAGATTTGTATTTTAAATAAAATGTGAAGTTGAACAAAATGCGTTAGTGTTTTTTTTTTTTTTTTACTTATTTGCTTTCCTTCTTGCTTTTTGAAAATGGAACAAATGGCTTATTGTTTTTAATTATCTTTACCAAAGGACAACAAGTGGTCAATGACTACACCCACAAGATTGTGGTGAAGGAGGATGGTACTCAGTCAATGATTGTGGTTCCTGCCATGCCTCAGCACTCCGGAGAGTGGACAGTTGTTGCTCAGAATAGAGCTGGAAAGACAACCATTTCAATGACTCTCACTGTTGAAAGTAAACTATTTGTTTTTGTTCTAAAAACTATGCTAGATCTAGACTTGGTGGTGTGGCAGATTGTGCAAACTCGTGGCTTACATGTTACAGCAAAGGAAAATTTGGTCCGACCCCAGTTCATTGAAAAGCTAAAGAATATCAGTGTTAAGGAAGGAAGTTTGATTGAGTTGGCAGTAAAAGCTATTGCAAACCCCCTTCCTGACATTGTCTGGCTGAAAAACAGTGACATCATCTCTCCTCATAAATACCCTCACATCAAGTAAGTGACTTGCCTTACAAATAATTGTTTAATTATGGTCTGTTTTGTGGTACTAATCTATGCAAACATTAAATGCTATTTTAGAATTGAGGGTACCAAAGGACAGGCACATTTCCAGATTCCTCAGACTACTGGCTCTGACAGTGCGTGGTACACAGCCACAGCCATTAACAAAGCTGGCAGAGATACCACTCGCTGCAGAGTCAATGTGGAGGTCGAGTTCACCGAACCTGAACCAGAAAGAAGACTCATCATTCCCAAAGGAACATATAAGGCTAAGGACGTTGCTCCACCAGAGATTGAACCATTGCATCTTCGCTATGGTCAGGAACAGTGGGAAGAGGGTGACCTCGATGACAAGGAAAAACAACAGAAGCCACACTTTAAAAAGAAGATTACTTCAGTCAGGATGAAGCGATTTGGACCTGTGCACTTTGAGTGCAGACTGACCCCTATTGGTGACCCAACTATGGTTGTTGAGTGGCTCCATGATGGCAAGCCACTGGAAGCTGCTAACAGACTTCGTATGATCAATGAGTTTGGCTTTTGCAGTCTTGATTATGAAGTTGCTTATTCTAGAGATAGTGGTGCCATTACTTGCAGAGCTACCAACAATTTTGGTGCTGACCAGACCTCGGCTACACTAATTGTGAAGGATGAGAAGAGTCTAGTGGAGGATAGTCAGTTGCCAGAAGGTAAAAAAGTACAGAGAATAGATGAAATGGAGCGAATTGCTCATGAGGGTGCACCCTCAGGAGTAACTGGAGATGACATGACAGAGAAGACCAAGCCAGAGATGGTCTTGCTCCCAGAACAAGTATTTGAGGGGGAAACAGCCAAATATCGCTGTAGAGTGACCGGTTACCCCACTCCCAAAGTTAACTGGTACCTCAATGGACAGCTCATTCGAAAGAGCAAACGATTCAGACAACACTATGATGGCATTCACTATTTGGAAATCACTGACTGTAAGTATTGGCTGAAAACCCAGAGGGTACAGCTGAGCATGCTGTCAAGCTTGAAATCCAACAGAAGGAAGACCTCCGGTCAATCTTGCACCGTGCTCCTGAGAAGACTCCGGAGGCACCTGGCCCTGAACCTGGCAGAGTATCTTTTGATGTTGTGAAGGTAGATAAACCCACAGAGGCTTCACAAGCAAAAGAGGTTGTCAAACTGAGGAAGGCTGAGAGAGTTGTTCATGAAAGATCCACAGAAGAGACAGAAGAGCTGCAAAGCAAATTTAAACACAGGACTGAAGAGGGCTATTATGAAGCCATATACTCAGTTGAGATGAAGTCTCGCAAGAAGGATGAATCTTATGAAGGAATGCTAAAGAAGAGAAAAGAAGAACTTCTGCACTGGACCAAAGAGGTGCCTGAGTCCGAAAAGAAGAAAGAGGAGGAGGAAGGCAAACTTAAAATTCCTACAATCAGACCTGAGAAAATTACTCTCTCTCCTAGCATGGAGGCTCCAAAGATCTTGGAAAGAATTGAGAGCCAGACAGTGTCCCTGTCTGATGAAGTTCGCTTCCGTTGTAGGGTTGTTGGTAAACCAGATCCAGAGTGTCAGTGGTTCAAAAACGGCATTTTACTTGAGAAGTCAGATCGTATTTATTGGTATTGGCCAGAGGACCATGTCTGTGAATTAGTAATCAGAGATGTCTCAGCTGAGGACTCTGTTAGTATTATGGTCAAAGCCATTAACATTGCTGGTGAGGCCTCAAGCCATGCTTTCTTGTTGGTGCAAGGTATGTATTGTCATTTATAAATCAGTGTTACTCCTATGATCACTGTTCATGTCAAAATTACTTTATCTAATAAATTCTCTGTGGATTTTTGCAGCCAAGCAGCTTGTATCTTTTACCCAGACACTGGAGGATGCCTATGCTAAAGAGAAAGACACAATGGTAACCTTTGAATGTGAGACAAACGAGCCATTTGTCAAAGTCAAATGGATGAAGAACAATGCCAAAATTTTCTCTGGAGACAAATACAGGATGCACTCTGACAGAAAGGTGCACTTCCTATCTTTACTTTACTTTTACTTT